TTATCATCATTATTATTACCATCTTCATAATCATTATCATAATCATCATCATTATCATCTTCATTATAATTATCATTATCCTTGCTATTCGTTTATATGTTATCATTTATTACCATTAACGCTATCATCATGTCATTTATACCGATAACATCAACATTTTTACTTTTACTCTCATTAGTAATCATTCCTGTTATTACATTATTGTTATTGTTATTAGTCATTTACTGCTATTATTAGTATTATCACTGTTTATTATTGCAATCATCATTGTATTATTGATCTGATCAATCATTATTATAGTACTATCAAATTGCTTTTATCAAATTTATCACTTATTAACCATTATCACTGTTATTATCATTATTATCAATAAAATTATCATCATCATTATCCTCCTCCTCTTCCTACTTCATCATCATCATTACCCTCCTCTCCTCTCCTCTCATCTCCTCATCTCCTGCCCTCCTCCTTCTTCTCTGCTCTCTCATCATCATCATCACCATCCTCCCCTCCTACTCACCATCTCACCCCTCCCCCTCCTTCTCATCATCATCATCGCCATCTCCTCCTCCTCTTCCTCCTGATCAATCAATCATTCTCCTCCTCCTCATCATCATCATCATCTATCATCATCATCCTCCTCCTCCTCCTCTTCCTCCTGCTCATCATCATCATCTGCCATCCTCCTCCTCCTCCTCTCCTCGTCATCATCACCATCCTCCTCCCATAATCATCATCATCCATCCATCCTCCTCCTCCTCCATCATCATCACCACCTCACCATCAGCCATCATTATCATCCATCATCACCATCCTCCTCCTCCCCCTCTTCATGTTCATCATCACCATCCTCCATCCTCTCCTCTTCCTCCTGCTCATCATCACCATTCCTCCTCATCATCATCATCACCATCCCTCTCCTCTAAATTATCATCGCATCCTCTCATCATCCACCACCACCACCTACACCATCACCATCATAATCATCATCATATCCTCCTCCTCCTCCTCCTTATTATCCTCCTCCTCTCCTCCCCCAGGATGTGGCAGAGCGCGTGGGTGGCCCTGCGCTGGCGTGCGTGGCGGCCGCAGTTCCGAAAGGCACTGTCGAGAAGCCGGCTTGGCAGCCTCGTTTTCTAGGGCAAATTCACCTTAAGGTTAGTAGGGTTTTCATATCTCTCCATCTATCTATCTGTTTAACTCTCTCTCTCTCTATCTATATATCTATTTATATCTCTATCTCTCTATCTATCTATTAATTTATCTCTCTCTCCCTCCTCCCTCTCTCTCTCTCTCTCTATCTATCTATTTCTCTCTCTCTGTCTGTCTCTCTCTCTCTATCTATCCTCTCTCTGTCTCTATCTATCTCTCTCTCTCTTCTAACTCTCACTCTATCTATCCATTCCTCTCTCTCTCTCTCTCTCTATCTATTTCTCTCTCTCTCTCTTCTTCTATCTCTCTCTCTCTCTCTCTCCTCTCTCTCTCTCTCTCTCTCTCTCTCTCTCTCTCTCTCTCTCTCTCTCTCTCTCTCTCTCTCTCTCTCTCTCTCTCTCTCTCTGTCTTCTCTCTCTCTCTCTTCTCTCTCTCCCTCTCTCTATCAATCTATTTATCTCTCTCTCTCTGGAAGGTGGTGGTGGTGGGGGGGGGGGGGGGTTATTCATGGATTGATGGATAAAACGCGTCTTTGGAGAGATGTATTGTTTGTGTATATATATACGCGCACAAGGACAAAGAAGCAGACAAACAAACAAACACAAAGAAACGGAGACATACCCAAGCACAAATGAACGCAAATAAACAAACACGCACACACACAAACCCAAATATATACACGAACGCAAATAAACAAACACGCACACACACAAACCCAAATATATACACAAACACACACACACACACACACAAACCCAAATCCAAACACGCAAACAGAAAATATAAACAAACAAACAAATACACAAGCAAACAGACACACACATAATAAATAAACACGCTAACAGAAAAAAAAAACAAGCAAAAACCACAAAGAACAAAAACACGCAATCACAAACGAAAAACACAAGCAAAAAAAAAAATAATAATAAAAAAAAAAACAAACTTACACACACACCTACCCCCCCCCAAAAAAAAAAAAAAAAAAAAAAAACCTTTTTTCATCCAAAACAAGCAAACAATAAACAAGCAATAAAAAAAATCACCCACACCGCTTTTCTTCTCTCTCTCTCTCTCTCTCCCCCTCAAGCACGCTGCCTTCATGGAACTCCAAAGACAACACACACACACACACACAAAAAAATCATCCAAAACAAGAAAACAATAAACAAATAATAATATCAATAAAAAAATATCACCCAACGTTTTCTTCTCTCTCTCTCTCTCCCCCTCAAGCACGCTGCCTTCATGGAACTCTATTTCTCCGAGGACGAGTCTCTGGATTACGTCGACCGGTGGAACCTCTACATCTCCAGCTTCGATCCTCTGGGGGCGGTAAGTGGGTTGTATTTTTTTTTTTTTGTTTTATTGTTTTTATTTAATATTTTTAGTGTTTGTTATTTTATTGTTTTATGTTTTTGTGTTTTTTATTTTGTTTAAATGTGTTTTGTGTTTCTTATTGTTTTTAATGTTTTTGTGTTTTTTTGAATGTTTTTTTTATGTTTTTGTGTGTTTTTATCGTTTTTAAAGGTGTGTTTTTATGTTTTTTTGTTTTTATTGTTATTTAATGTTCTTTGTGTTTTGTTTTTGTATTTATTTTATGTGTGCGTGTTTTAATTGTTTTTTAATGTTTTTTTTCTATTGTCTTTTAATGTTTGCTTGTGTTTTTTTATTGTTTTTTTGTTTTTTATTGTTTTTTTTTTTTTATTTTTTTTTTTTTTTATTGTTTTTAAATGTTTTTTTGTTTTTTTTGATTTTTCTGTTTTTATGTTTTTTATAATGAAAATGTTGATGATAAGTTAGCTGTGGATTTGAAATTAGGTTAGGTTAGGACTGAATAGGTGGGTTGTTGTAGATAGAGCATCATAGGAAATAGGGAATGAAATATGAGATAGAAAAGGATAAAAAATAATAATGATAATAATAAAAGAAAGAAAAGATGTGTTAGTCGAAAGAATGAAATTTGATGAACACTATTGTATATAATGTGCGGTAGGAAATACAGGGAAAATGAAGATGAAAACGATGAAGAAGAAAAAATCTGCGATATAGAGCTAGATCGATTTCATATTGCTGTTAAAAATGTATTTATATAAATAAATAGAAATAAATGAATAAAAAATATAATATATGGCAAATCTGGAGCATATAGCATTTCAGTAAACAAACATGAAATGCTACTAAAATGGAAGAACAACATGCAAACTAATCAGGGAAGTCAAATCTAAAGCGCGGAAAGACATAATTACGTCATAATATTAAAATAAAGGTGCCGAAATTTGTCGCTTACAAAGTCCCATTCTTCGCTTATGGCCTGCTAATGTAAACAAGCCATGTAACTCAGAAGATAGCGCTCAAGAAAGTAGTGCGTGTGTTATTATCTACCGTTTGATAGACATTTACGCGTAAATTCAAGTCAATTTTCGACACTTGGTCTCCAAACGATATTAATTACCATTATGTTAATTCATTTAACTAATTTCTATAATCTATTCACATTTTACGCTCTTCAAAATTTGGTGTGTGACGTCATGTATGGCGCATTGATACCTTCAAATATCCCTAAAAACGGTTATTTTTGTGGGAAAGTTTGGCTCATCTTTGCGATAAATGGCTTTTCTTTACCGTTTTACAATGAGAGCTTGTGTGGGAGACCTATGTATGGCCCTCCCCTCTAAAACCCCCGATTCCCCACGTGTCCCCCCAAGATCGCAGGGCATAGGGGTAAAAATATAAGAAAAAAAAAGGACATTCCATCTCCTCTAGCATTACCCCTCTTCATACCAGGAAGATGAGGTCTACCGAATGAGGTCGCCGGGCCGCTTCCTCGACGACATCGCCTCCTGGAACATCGAAGTCATGGACCAGACTGCCCTCTGGCCCAACAACCCCGACTATCTCCCGAGTAAGACTGATTTGTTGGTTCGTTTGTCTGTTTGAGAGAGAAAGAGGGAGGAGAGAGAGGGAGGGAGGGGAAGAGGGAAAGAGGAAGAGGAGGAAGGAAGGGAGGAGGGTGAGGAGGAAGAGGGGGAAGAGGGGAGGGGAGAGAGAGAGAGAGAGAGAGAGCGAGCGCAACAGTATAGACATAACCCCGCCTATAAACGACGAAACAAATGAGGATCGCGCACCGAGGCGGCAAGGAGAAGAAGAGGAGAAGAGAAAGAGAGAGAGGAGAGAGAGGAGAGAGAGAGAAGAGAGAGAGAGAGAGAGAGGAGAGAGAGAGAGGAGAGAGAAGAGGAGGAGGAGAGGAGAGAGAGAGAGAAGAGGGAGGGAGAGAGAGGAGGAGAGAAAGAGGTAAGAGGAGAGAGAGAGAGAAGAGGAGAGAGAGAGAGAGAGAGAGAGAGAGAGACAGAGAGAGAGAGAGAGAGAGAGAGAGGAGAGAGGAGGAGGGAGGAGGAGAGGGGAGGGAGAGAGAGAGAGAGGGAGGGAGGTGAGACAGAAAGAGAAATAGAGAGAGAGAGGAAGAGAGAAAAAAGACATAGATAGATAGAGAGATATGAAAACCCTAAAATTTTATATCTCCCAGATTGATTTGATGTATTCCATTTTAGTATTTTCTTAACAAGACTGATTTTTTGTTTTATTTGTTTGTCCGTTTTAAACCGTGCATAAGACGGATTTGATATATTTTCATCAATTTTCAAAGACTGATTTTTTTTAGAAATCATATAATCTTACGAATAAAAAAATGACAAAATGATTTTTTCTTTCTTTTTTTTATCATAGATTCTCTCCAATAATACTATTTGTATGTCTCCTTATCTCCTTTGTAATACTAAATGTTTTATTATATAGTCTCTTGAATAAGACCGACAACACCATTTCATTTTCACATTACTTCCCTTGTAATATTTTCTTATTCTATTAATCTCTCTCATAAGAATTATTTATTTATCTATTCATCTATTTCTACCTCACTTTGTAAGAATACTCGACTCAATATACACTTTCTGCTCTCCGTTTCCACACATTCCCTAAGTGAAAAAATAAAACTTCTATGAATGAAAAACAAAATAAAACAACGCCAACGTAAATATCCATCCATCTTTACCCTCCTCCCGAAGGCTCTGTCGCAGGCGCCGAAGGAGTTATCTGGACCTCGGGCTTCCTCGTCCCTGGCAAGACCGACGGGCAGCTGCAGATGTACGACACGACGAAGGACCCCGTCGATGGGCCCTACAACATCGCCAGGAATGATAATGTGAGGAGAGGGTGGGGGAGAGGAGGGAGAGAGGAGGGGAGAGGGGGAGAGGGGAGGAGGGAGTGGGGGAGAGAGGGAGGGAGTGGGGGAGAGGAGGGGAGGGGGAGAGGAGAGGAGGGGGAGGGAGGGAGGAGGGGGGGAGGAGGAGGAGGAGGAGGGAGGAGGGAAGGAGAGGAGAGGAGGGAGGGGGGAGAGGAGGGAGGAGAGAGAGAGAGAGAGAGAGAGAGAGAGAGAGAGAGAGAGAGAGGGGGTGAGAGGGGGGAAGAGGATTGGACCGGAGGAAAATGAAAAGAGAGAGAGAGAGAGAGAGATAAATAGATAGATAGAGAGTTACGAAAACCCTAAAATTTGATATATATCTAGACATCTCCCATAAAGTTAAAAGACATAAATAATACACAATGCACAGTCAATCAACCGCATGCAGAGAGATAATGAGATGCAGAATCAATAAGCCTACTCCAGTTCATCCCAGTCTGTCCCCGTGTATCCAAGTCAGTCCCAAGTCTATCCTAATCCATCCCACTTTATCCCAAGCCATCCCAGTCGATCACAATATACCCTGACCTAATCCAAACCATTCAAGTATATCCAGTCAATCCCAAGTCTATCCAAATCCATCCCACTTTATCCCAAGCCATCCCAGTCGATCACAATATACCCTAATCTAATTCAAACCATTCAAGTATATCCCAGTTCTATCTCAATCCTTTCCAGCCAATCCCAAGTCTATCCTAATTCACCCCAGTCTATTCTAATGTATCCTAATCCACCTCGCTCCACCACACTCTATCCAAGCCTATCCTAGTCAATCCCAAACCGCCTGAGATCATCCCTGTCTATCCCGGACCACCCCTAATGCACCACGCTTTATCCCATTCTATCCCGACCAAGTACAAACCAACCCAGGCCACCAATGTCTATCCTGAGCCACTTCAATCCACCACACACTCTCCTAACCTATCCCACCCAGTTCCAGACTATCCCAGACCATCCCGATGCACCACACTCCACGCTCGTCAATCTCAGACCATCCCAGACCAACCCCCCTGTCTATCCCAGTCTATCCCAACCAAACTTGAAACCGCCCAAAACCATCCCGATCTACAGAACTCTATCCCACTGTATCCCAGCCTGTCCCAAACCTACCCAAGACCTCCCAGCTCACCAAACCAATCCCAAACCTACCCAAACCATCCCAGCTCACCAAAATCAGACCATTTCTAACCACGAGCATCCCCCCAGAACGCGTGGTCTTATCACCGCGTGGTGTGGAAGGACATGGACCTCGACGGGGACCTCGACGCCCTCACAGCCAGGTTCCACAAGCCCGTGCTCGGTACGTTTTTTTTTTTTTTTTACTATGATTCATAATGATAATTTGACATGATAAATTTGTAATTGATAATGGTAGTGAGTAAATAAAGAGGAAATAATGACAAATAAGGGCAATGGTGATTATGACGATAGCTGCGGTGTTTATATGATACTTGGAGGATTGCGAGAAAATATGGAGGTCCTTACGACCAGGTTCCATAGGCCTGTAATTGGTATGTCGTGTTGAACTTCGCAATTGTTAAGTTGAATCGTGTGATATGATAGATTTACAATGGTAGCGAACTTCATTAAGATTTATAATTTGATAGGATGTGATATAGTATGATAGATTTCTAGCGGTAATGGTAGAGGATTTATGAGTGCCTGGGATATATATTAGACTTAAAATGATAATGGTAGGTACCTTTATTATGATTTATGATTTGATAGGGTGTTTTATAGTACGATAGATTTATAATGATAATTTTAGTGAATATATGAAAAATAAAGAACAATTGAGTAAAAGGGAAACGTGATAATTACGATAGCTGTGATGAGTATATGCAATGGCTCTTTTGAGCCGAAATTCATGATAATAATGGTAATGAACGAATTGAAAGTAAATAATAATGGAGAGAAAGGGAAAAAAACAAGAATGAAAATAAAAAGGTAATAGATAGAGAGAAAAAAGTACAAAGTAAAGAATAATAGAGAAAAAATAGCAATGAAAAACTATTAAAAAAAATAATAATAATAATGACGAAACTGTGATGTTTATATATTAAGCGGAGGATTAAGAAGGGTGTAAAGAAACGTAAATGACAGTGATATTGATGATAATGATCATATTGATGATAATGATTAATGGAATACTTTTACTACAACAACTAAGACAACAATGGTAATAATGACTAAGCTAATCATAACTAACATCACTATCACAACAACAAAAAAACGATCATAAACCCCCCATTTCTGTCGTGACTCACAGGTTCGACCAAACACGACCTGGTCTGGTTCGAGAACGAGGGAACAGGTTTTAGCATCGGCTGGAAAGAACACATCATTGCCAGCGACGGCCCGGACGTTCACTTCGATCTGGTAACACTGAGCGCGGGAGGGAGAGACTACGACTGCATCGTCGTTGGCGAATTCTTCAATCAGAGGACCTCTATTTATTGGACGGAGAGTGAGACTAACGACTGGAGTGACCTTTCGCTTGTGAGTGCTTCGGTCTCCTGTTTTTTTTTTTTTTTTTTTTTTTTGTCTGTTTCTGCCTCTCTCTGTCTCTGATGTGCGTCTCTGTTTCTGTTTGTCTGTCTGTATGTGTCTTTTTGTTATGGACTGTCTCAATCTCTTTCTCTCTTCGTGTATATGCATATGTGTGTGTATGTAAGTATATGTATGTATATATATATATATATATATATATATATATATATATATATATATATATATATATATATATATATATTTATATTTATATATTCTTCGTATCTCTTCTTTCTTTTCTTTTTTTCTTTCTTTCTCTTTTATTTAAGATCTTCCAAAACCTTATTTTTTCCTCCAATTTTCATGTTTTCCACAAGCTGCCTCCTTCCTTTATTCCTTTCTCTCTTTCTTCTCTCTCTCTTCTACTTAAGATCTTCCAACACCTTATTTTTCCTCCATTTTTCTTCGTTCTTCCTTTCTCTCTTAATCTTGCTCTCTCTCTCTCTCTCTTTTATTTACGATCTTCCAACACCTTATTTTTTCCTCCATTTTTCTTTTTTTCTTTCTCTCTTAAATCTTTCTCTCTCTCTCTCTCTCTTTCTTATATTTATGATCTTCCAAAACATTATTCCCCCTCCTTTATTCCTTTCTCTCTTTTCTTTTCTCTATCTCTCTCTATTTCATTTACGATCTTCCAAAACCTTATTTTCCCCCATTTTCCTTTTTTTTTCTTCCAAGGTGAAATCCCGCGTCATCAACGAAAACGCAGGACAGACCTTCGACGTCCTGGTGGAGGACTTCAACCGCGACGGCGTCCTGGAATTCCTGGCCACCGAATTCAGGACTGACCTCGGGATTGGTCAGGTCACCGTGTATCAGTTCCCGGAAGATTTCAGGTAAAGGGAAGGTTCGGTTTGGTTCAGTGGGATTTGAGGGAGTTAAGGTAGAGGGAGGTTTGGTTAGGATTTCAGGTAAAGGGAAGGTTCGGTTTGGTTCAGTGGGATTTGAGGGAGTTAAGGTAAAGGGAGGTTTGGTTCGGTGCGGAAGATTTCAGGTTAAGGGAAGGTTCGGTTTGGTTCAGTGGGATTTGAGGGAGTTAAGGTAAAGGGAGGTTTGGTTAGGATTTCAGGTAAAGGGAAGGTTTGTTTCAGTCCAATGAGATATGCGGGATTTTAACCTCTGTGTGGCTTGGTAAAGCATGTGTGTGTATACATACATGCATATATATATATATATATATATATATATATATATATATATATATATATATATATATATATATATATATATATATATATATATATATATATATATATATATATATATATATATATATATATATATATGTGTGTGTGTGTGTGTGTGTGTGTGTGTGTGTGTGTGTGTGTGTGTGTGTGTGTGTGTGTGTATAAAATATTCATATATAAACATGTGTGTGTATATTTATACACACATGTAAATGCACACACACACACACATATATATATGTATGTATGCACACACATATACATATGGAGAGAGAGAGACAAACAGAGAAACGAAGACAGACAGAAAGAGAGAGAGAAAAGGAATAAGCAGAAACAGAACGTCAGAGACAGACAGAAAGTAGTGATAACCCATTTTTCTCCCCCCCCCCCCCCCCCCGACAGGACGGACGAATTCCCTCACTTCAAGATCGCCGACAGCTTTCGCCCCAACCAAATCCTCGCCGGACAGACCATGTCTCCGGGAACGCCCAAGGTCTACTACCCGAACGCCGCCTACGCCCAAGATGTAGCCGAAGACGGGATGTAAGTGAGGCTAAAAGCACTTAGAAATACTTACCATTTGCGGATATATAACGACAGACCCTCTAAGTCCCCTGAAATCCTCAATATTGCAACCTTTATCCGCAAAATTCCCTAGCGCTGAATCCTCCTTCTGGATAACCAACCTCACCAAAGACTTCAACACTTTAGCATTATCTTAAACCTATCAGCCTAATCTTCCCTTTTGGAAAACATAAAAACAACTTAAACTTAAGCCATAAATTTAAACTTCTTAAACTTTTTCATCAAAACAACTTAAGCCTTAAACTTATTCATAAACTTTTTCATCAAAACAACTTAAACTTAATCCTTA